AAAATTGGATTTGAGTCGTTAACAAGATAGGACGATGTCTCGCGCGTTCAGATAGAAATGGATCTCAAGGAACGCTCCTTAGGTGAAACCCAACAAATTGATATTTGTTTTTAATTATTATTTTAGCAGTTGATTGAACGTTCCTTCTCACCTCCATCGCAATGGTCCAAATGTCTCGACATTTTGGGTGGTGGTAACCACGGTGGCGATGGGGTATTGTTTTTTACGCTCTAACACGAAATGGTATGTGAGTTTGTTTTGGCGCACAACACGAGACAGCAAATGAAGACGAAGATTGTACTCCGCCTCACTGTACGATGGACTAAGGCCCGAATGCTGGCGGGCGGAGCACTTCCTCGAAAAAGCTTGCATCCGCATTGCAAAAGAGTGCGCGAGAGAAATTCCGATACGGAGAGTACAAAGAGCACTAATCTTACGTGTATGGTTCTCTGTTGTGATAGCGGGCATTTCATATTCGTGTAGTAAAGCTACGTGCTATTTAGTTTCATAAATAATCCTGCGATATTTCGTAAACATGTCAACTTTTTGGAGAAATTGGAATGTCCGCAGGCAACTCTGAGATAAAGTCGTGTCTCTTTAGCCATAACAATCCAATCTTAGTGAGAACCGAGGCGCGTACGAGGCTGATGGCTGTACGGCCGGAAAGTCTGGGCTACAGAATGCGCCTTCTTTCCGACGTTTCACGTTTCAAGTGCATCTCCTCTGCACCCAAAGTAGGATAGAAAAAGGTAACAAGGTGGTCGGAGAGCAGCACTGTTTTAACGTCATCTCCCTGCAAGGCAAAGCTGTTGTTGGCAAAAGCAACCAAAAACCGGCGTTCCGCTGCCCCCCCCCCTCCCCCCCCCCAAAAAAAAAACATAAAGAAAGAAAAAAAAAAAAACGTAAATCCGAAGAGAAATATTATTATTGTCCAGCGTCCTGCAGATCATGCGATGCACACCAGAAGAGAGGGCAATGCCTGGTGTGCAAAGAACTTTGGAGCCAAGCAGCCCCGCATTCTGTATGGATCGGGTGCATGGAAGGCAAGGAGTGGGTTCATGGAGGGTGCGTTGGAGCTCAAACAGTGTGTTACAACTGCTTCTATTGCTAAACCTTAACACATATCAGGCTTTTTTAAGTGTGTCCTATTGTACCCCACTACGTTGTCTCATTTTGACCCACAGGGCGAGGCAAAATGAGATATTGTGTGACTTTCAGATATCGTAGTTTGTTAAACGTTTCGCTTGCTCTCGTTAAGTGATATTTGCTGAGCATAGAGACAAGAAAGATATCTAAAAATATCCCCATGCTGCGTATGAAAGCAATAAAATAAAATTTACCATTAAAATGATTTTTTTTTGTTTCATTTTGCCCCTCCTTATTCTAATCTCACCCGATGAAAATGACATTCGCTTTACCGCGTGGCAGGGGTATAACACGTTCCTTTGCAATCTCGTAAAAAGGAAGAAAAAAAAAACAGGAATATTTTATTTTGCAGGAATTAACAAAAAACATAGATCAAGGAATGGAATTCATTGAAAATAATACGAAAACAAAAAGGCAAGAAAAACCAAGTCAAGACAGAAGTGCGTAATTCAGCAACGATCCACGCGGCACAAACAACAGCAACATTAGCAAAAAACAGAACACCGCGTCAGCTTAATCGAACCGAGTTTCAAACACCCCAAAAACATTGTCGCGGACAACACTACTAAAATAAAATTAAAAAAAAAATGCAACAGTCAGTCAACGACACAAGTTCCGAAATACTGCGACGCGACCAGACTTCTAAAATGAACGCGAACAAACATCAACGTCTCTTTCACCGCAAGAAAACAACCACAACCCGAGCCACTCTCGAACCAAGCAATACACCCGCCACGCAATCCCCACCAAAAAAAAAAAAGAACCAGTTTTGCTCAAATCTTTGAATCGCACAGAGAAAACAGCCGAACACGCCGAGTATGTTGTGGATTCGCCACATAACACGAGGGAAAACAATTTGCACCGGGGAAGGAGGTTGTCGTGCGGGACGGAAAACGATCTCTCCCGAGCACGCACCGCAGGTTTGCGTTTGTTTGTTCGGTTGCTTGCCTCCACACGCCCTCTCACCGTATAGCTTGGAAAACGGCGAAGGCTACGCTCCCAGCGAACCAATCGGCGCTTCCGAGCTAAGCACGTAGCTGTAACACCAATACGCGGCTCTATCGTCATGTCGCTGCGGTGGCGCGGTTGTCGGCACGGCGCAAGCGCACACGCTTCACTTCGCACGAATAAGATTTCTGCGCACGCGTAGTGCGCAGAACCCTGGCGGGGCCAATCGTGGGCTTGCTTGTAAAGAGCATGTCGGTAAACACCCCATATGACTATACCCGTTTTTTCACCTCAAGAAAAAAGCAAGTTTTGCGCATTGTTCATACGCGGCGCGAAGTAGTTCTCACGAGATTTGATTGTCGGAGTAAAAAGCGATGATTTTGGCGTTTGGAACGTCTGCGTCTTGATAAGATAACATATATATAATCTAACATTCACCTACGGATCTCTTAATTATTCACATAAAGAGAGAAATTAGTAATGGTCCGCGAGGCGCTGCTCTTTTTTTTTTTTTTTTTTGATAGAGCTCTTGAAGTGAAAACGGATACAGTTGCGCGAAGTGCCGGCGAAGCCACTGGTGGGAGAAAGAGAGAAAACCTGGTTTTGTAAGAATTTCGAGCGACAGGCATTTTTGCGCTTTAAGGGGTGCAAATTTACAAATTACAGGCGACGTACTTTTCTTTCTTTTTTTTTTCTTTTTTTTTTTGTTCTTTAAAGATTGCAAAAATGAACCTTTGGGACAGCAAAAAAGAAGGTCCGGGGAAGAGGTGAACTTCTCCTTGCGCTCTTCTCCAACTGGGCGGGTTACGCTCTCGCCTTTGTGCCTTAAATAATAATAATAATAATAATAGACATTTTTATTTCCATCGATTGTGATGGAAATAACCCGAGGAGAAAAGCTGCAATATGCAGCTTGACTGGTCCTCGGGCCCCTACAATGGTCAGCAGCAACGGCACGGAAATACACAATATGTACACACAAAAAGCAACGTTTTGAAAGTTAGATAACCATACACTTGGCCTGTTAGTGAAGCAAATAGACACACACGAAAAGCAACAATTAAAATTTACATAACTATGCACTTTGGCCTATTAATGGAGCAAGATTAAACAGAAAATAGAAATCAGGAACAAATCAGGAGAAAAAATACAAACGCAATTCTTTAGAAGTTACAGAGTCAAAATCTACATCATTAATATAAAAATGATTTAGCAAGTTTGGTGGAGCAAATCTAAGCATTTGGAGACCATAGTTCGTTCGCTGAGTGACCATCTTCCACTTCTACGTGTCGCGAGTGACGTATGCCGGTGCTTTTTCCTACAAACGTGCAAGGTTTAAAGAAACAAAAGACAAAACATGAGGCCCTTATTTTTTTTTCTCCTGAAACTAGCACATACTCTATATTCATAGAGGTTATAAATTGTAATTATCTTAAAATTTCTAGATATTTCAAAAGTCCGAGCATCATACGAGACATTACATATGCTTGGCAGAAGAGCCTGTTGGTTTAAGTCATGGATGAAGACAGAATAAACAATTAAAACAGGGACAACACAACCACATCTTTCATAAAAGATGTGGTTGTGTTGTCCCTGTTTTAATTGTTTATTCTTTCTTCATCCATGACATTACATATGCTCCCTAATATTTTTTTTTTGTAACAAAAACAGTTCTTCCACACTGGTTTGTGTCGATGAACCCTATACTAGATGGCAGTATGTTAAGTGAGAGTAGAAAAAGAGTTGTAAATTATCAATTTAACATTCGTGGGCAACACATAATGGTTGCGATTTAGGATATTTATTACTCGGCATAATTTTGGAATAAGATCATTTATATGACAATCCATGGACGTGTTCTCATTCAAAAATACACCAAGAGTTTTGAAGGAAATAACTATTTCAGTTGGACAAGAATTTAAACTCAGTGATCTAGATAAAACCACAGCCTTGTTCTTTGGACGAAAAATAACTGCTTTTGTTTTATTATAGTTTACCTATAAGAGTTACTACCGCTCCGGGATTTTATCTGTGATAAAGTGTGGTTAATCTCATCTATTAAGTCATCACCTGTTTCGGAAGAGAAAAATATGCTAGTACCATGCATCCGCGTAGTTAACAAATTTTGCTTCCTTGTTAACGTTAACAGTGTCGTTTACGTATAAGTTAAAAAGAAGGGGTCCTAAAATACCTCCTTGCGGAACACCTGAGGTGACGGGTTTTATCTTGGATGAGTAACTGTTCATGCATACGAATTGTTCACGATATTGCAAGCAGTACTGTAAAAGCAACAGTGCCTGTCCACGGAAACTATACATTTCAAGTTTTTTTTTTTTATATATTATTTTAAACATCATGACTTAGGCAGTCAAACGGTTTCGTCAAATCCAAAAATAACTCTAGCACTATTTTTTTGTTTTCAAATTTGTTCAAAATGAATTCCTTTTGGTTAAGTAATGATGTTTCAGTAGTACAGTCCTTCTGGAAACCAAATTGAAAAGAGGTAGTAAGATTATATTTGTTTAAAAAGTCAATTAAACGGTGATAGATTAATTTCTCTAAAGCTTTAGAAAACAAAAGTGCTGTCAAGTGCTTCGTTGCTGTCGTTCTGATTGGCCCGAGAAAGCCATTGCGTTCGCTCTTTGCCAATCCATAGCGTGAAAGGAAATGTATACAGATAACGAAACAACGCACAAAAATACGAATACGAGCGAAAGGAATATACAGGACGAGCGCTGTTCTGTACACTTCTTTCCTTTGTTTACGTTGTTGTTGTTTTTTTGTGCTCCGTTTTCAATGTTAGTCACGGGCCGACTCGCTCGCATTGCCACTCTAATTCTGTCGTTTGTTTATGGAATTTTTCTTTTTGTCATCCTGTTTCTGGTGTTGCTGCGGACCCATCCCAGTTCTCCTCACGTTTGCCCTGCTCATGGTGTTCCTCTCAGCCGCCTGCGCCGTGTCGTCCGTGGTTCTCCTGCTCGGATTGTGGGCGGTAAGTGCGCTGCAGCCTCGCATTTTGCTTAGTCCTGCTGCGAACCTTTCGTGTGTGTCTGCGTATTTTTTTACTTTTTTTTTTTCTTCTGGATGTGTTGTTTTCCAGGCTCAGCCGCTATGTTATTCCAGAGTGTTGCCGTTTTTCCGCCTGGCTCGAATTACTACACAAGCGTGTAAACATTGAAAAAGGAAGAAAATAAAATCACTCGCAAAATTAGAACTGTATAAAAGAAAAACAAAAATATTTCTGAAGTTTATAATTCCAAAACTGCTCAGAAAAGAAAAATGCTTCACTGCATTTTTTTTTTCTTTTTAGAGTTGCGCATGGTTACAAAAATGAATGTTGTTTTCTTTTAATCTCGCGAATAAACTCGAAGAGCAGGGAGGGGGAGGGGAGGATGCGGAGGAGGGGAGGAGGAGAGAAAGAGGAGAGGAGGATCGAGGAGGAAGAGAAGAAGGGGAGGATGGAGGAGAAGGAGGGAAGGGGAGGAGGGGAGATGTCAGTTACCCGTTGTGCAGGCAAGTGATATCACCATTTATAAATCACAGAGAGGCACGTATGAAAACGTGGTGTACTCGTTAGCCAAGTGGCCATCTACATTGGTGCGGGTCTTTGCTGTACCCATCGACCTCTGTGGCGCGTTGGACGAAGTTTGTAAATTGTGTGCCGCCAAGGTCGAATACGGCTTGCTCGTGGTAGTTCTGTATCTCTCGTCTACAGCACTGACCACATATTTCGTGCAAGACAAAGAACTTCGTACCGGCCATCCAGAAAAACTTCCCATTGGTCCCGAGGAACGTGTACTCGCAGTTTTGCTGTGTCATCTCGGGGTCTAATGCTGAGAAAATCAAAAACTCCGAGCAGTTTTTGACTGAGCAGAGAGCAAATAGGATGATACCGAAAGAATCCCAATGCTTCGTCAAAGTGCTGACTCTAACGCTGTCACGTTCTTCCGCCTTGTCCTGCTGTCCTGTTTCCTGGCACCGGCAGAACTTAACTTCCAGATATGTGAGAACTATATTTACTTTCTCCGGATAAGTGCTGAGCGAGAATACCACAAGATATATATATATATATATATATATATATATTTATATATATATATATATATATATATATATATATATATATATGTGTGTGTGCGTGTGTGTGTGTGTGTGTGTGTGTTTAGTACGGTATATCGCAGTATCAAAATACCTCAAGAGAGGAGGAGGAAAGAAGGGGAGGAGGAGGGACATACCCTCCTCTCCGTACCCGCCTCTCCTCCTCCTCAAGAGCGGGAAATTTACCGAAAATTTCCCGCTAAATGGCAGGAAAGCACGAGAGGAGGGTACGGAGATGAGGGTATGCCCCTCCTCCTCCTCCGTACCCTTCCCTCTTCCTTCTCAAGAGCTGCGCTCTAATTCGGCATTACAGGAAATTGTAAACGTCTTTCATTTTTTTATTCAGACCATACCCAAGGCCGAGGCACGGTATTGCTTGTCCTTTGCAAAGACGTGACATTATCAGCATACAGTCTTACTTAACAGTAGTAATAAATATGTTGTTATGACAACCGCGCACATATCTATCAAATGTACACTGATTACAGCATATATACAGCCAAGCGTATCGCTTGATTCAAACCGCCTGACAGCAATCTTTTAAAATACCCCATCTCCACATATACTAGCGGGTGATTTTAACAATCACAACATTGTATAGTGAAGCAAGACCACTAGCGCTCATGGCAGAAAGCGAGCTGATATCACCAATGATATCGATTTACTCTTTCTTAATGATGGCAGCCCAATTTTCTATCGAAGAACATCTATTGCTAGCAGCCTTCACCTAATTTTCGTAACATCACCAGGCGGAATGGTTCAATGGCATCGAAACACGTGGGAGTGACCACACACCAACGTAGATCATCCTACGTAACCTTAATCTTCAATATCGGAAGCACATCGTGAAACGTGTAAATTGGGTCACTTTTCATGATGACATGGAGAAGAAAAGTAGCACTGTAACCACCTACACTGAATTTATAGTTGTGAATTTTAAGTCAAGTCATGAAGCCACAAAATCTCATAAATTACCAATTATGCAAAACACCATCGATACTGAGTTTAACGTCTTCGCGCTTTACATACAGCGACGTGCCGAGCGGCAGGCGATGCGCACAAAATCTGTTTCTGACGCAAAGACAGCCAATTATCTCCAGAAAGAAAAAAAATAGCTACATCTGTTTAATCTAGCACGGCCGGCAATGGCAATCCCACTGCGCAACGCTTGGACCCAAGAAACCTATTACAAGGATGTGGAGGACAGCGTGGTACTTTCGTACAGCACCACAGCAGCAATATCCTTTCTGAACAATAGCTCTTTCACGAAATACTTCTGAACTTGTTGTGGCGGACGAATACTGCGTCAATAAACTACAAAGCAAAATACACCAACGTACACAAGGCAAGAACCAAGTGGAAACATTCACAACGTCAATTTTGATTAACCTTTCAAACTTCATGAGCTGAAGGAGACTTTTCGGGCGTCTAAACTTTCATCCATCTCAGGGCCTGATGGCGTGTACATGCAATGTTAGCGCATTTAGGCAGCACCCTAGTAAAAAAAAGTCATTTGTATGAGAAATATCTTGTGTCCAATAAACACATATGAATCATACAAGATATATAAGAACATATAAGAACATATAAGAACCACATAAGAATTATATGAGAACTATATAAGAATTATATAAGATATATAAGAACCATATAAGAAAATTACAAGAAACTTCCCAGTACTTTCTTATATGGTGCTTGTATGTTTTTATATATCTTATATAGTTCTTATATCGTTCTTATATGGTTCTTATACGGTTCTTATAAGTTCTTATATATCTTGTATGATTCATGTCTTTATACGCCTCGCAAGTTGGCTCATTTTCGTCTTCTGCGCATGAGAAAGGAAGTAGCGGTGACGTCAGAACGCCGAGCCCTGATTGGTTGATCGCGACCCCCTATCTCAGCGTCGTCCGCTCCTTTGCAATGTCGTCTGCTTGCAACATCGTCTGCGTCTCTCTTACCTTTCCTGCGACTTTCGGAGCGAACTCGACTTCGCCTTTAAAGGAGGGCAGACGAAATAACTCGAGCGGTACGTTGTTTTTGTTTAACAACTAGCAGACGCGCATCAAGGAGGGAAGTCTAAGGACTCACTGGCGAGGTGTCCCGGGGCGCCGAGGTTTGTTTGCTTAGAACCGAGAGTGAGCGTGTTAGTGTCCGTAAGTTCCCTCCCAAATACTTTTTCCCTCCATTCCTGTGCGGCGAGACCCCTCACTCTTTGACGGCGCCGGCGGGTTGGCGCAGTTAACGTCACCTGCTTTACGTCTGCTAGTCGCTTTACCTTTCCTGCGTCTGTCGGAGATTCACCGCTTTTTCACCGGCGAGACTCACCGTTGCCTCGGGAAACAAGGAGATAACAAGAAGAAGAAATTGACCTCTTAATCTAAAATTGAGGTCAGCGATCAAAGTATAACACGGGAAGGGTACACAAGGGTCGCGCGGGCATATTCCATTCAGCACGTCAGCCGGTCGTGGGCAGACGGTCGCCGAGTCGCGGAGTGCCTGCTAGGCCTAACTGCCCAGCTCGTTTGGTCGCGTTCGGTGGAATCGTGGCCGTTGGAGCTTTTCCCCGGTGTTTGTGGATCCAGCGTTCTTGTTCGTCGTGCTCTGTTTCAAGTAATTTTTACTTTTTTCTTGCTGCTTGAAGTCAGGACGCGTCAGAAGCTCACGTAGAGAAATAAACGTCCGTGGGTAGTCGCGACCGCGACGATGTCGGCCATGCTGAGTTCATCGTAAGAAGTGCGTAAGACAGCTTCGGAGCTGTCGTGGGATTTCGCCGTAACCTGCGCAAAACTTACGAAAATTTCGTTTCGCGAATACGAATTTGTTCTTAAGTTTTGTCTTACGCACATTTTTGGCGTAAGATCGTTTCGTGAATCTGGCCTCTGCACTTCTGAAAGTCGCAGGAAACGTAAGACAGACGCAGACGGCATTGCGAGCAGACGACGCTCAGATAGGGGGGCGCGATCAGCCAATCAGGGCTCGGCGTTCTGACGTCACCGCTACCCCCTGCGCAAAAAGCAGACGAACTTGCCCTCCGCATTGGACTCAGAAATTTCTCATACAAATGAGAATTTTCAATAGGGTGCCAAGGAAAAACTTTTCGATTTTTACAATACCTCATGGCTGACCGGCGATATTCCTGACCCCTGTATATGAGCTAGAATCATCCCAAACTTGAAACAAGAAAAATTACCAACCGACATAACGCCTCGCCGCCCCATACCTAGTGCCTGCTGCGTTAGAATAATCCTCCAACCAATGATCGTTGCGACACTTGAATGGTATTCGGGAAGGAACAAGATCTATCCCAGGATAATGACTGGCTTTCGACGTAGACACAGCTCAATCGATAGCGTTATAGATCTCGTCACGTGCGTTGAACACCAAAAATCACGCCGCCGCATTTGGGCAGCCATATTTCTTGACGACAAAGGTGCATTTGATTGCGTTCAATATTAAGCAATCTTAGAAGACGCTCTTTATGAAATTGTACTTGGAGTGTGTCTTTCAAGATGGGTGGAAGGCCACTTGAAAGGCGGAAACATTTATGTTTTCACCCCTGGCAGCGATGCCAACCCTGTCACGATAACAAGGGGATTGCTTCAAAGAGGACTTCTGACCCCTTCGCTTTTTGATGTCCCGTTTATTGGTCTTTCCAAATTATTTACAACAACATTACATCTATCACTTTATGCGGACGACGTTTGTATGTGGACATCGTCAGATCCACAGCGCTATGTTTCCAACAGACTCAACAAGGCGACTGTGTTAATTATCGACTGTCGGAACGACGCCTAACCAATTCTCTGAAAAAAGGGGAAAGAAGCCTCTTGGTGTTTACTGAGTGAAATGTCGAGAAATATCCAATCTGTGCAAAGGGGATTATTATTTCTT